CGATATTATCTCAACATCTCGACTAGTTATCCAACTATATGATTCAATTAAATTCGCCTCATTTTTCTTTTATGTACTCTACAAGCACCCCAAGAGTGGGCAAATGTCTCCTTTCCTACAGACTTATAATGTCTTCAACTTGGTTTAAGCTCGTTGATTCCAACTGGTGCTCATTAGTTTTGCTACCCTACTATCTATTTCATCTGATAACTCTCATCGTAAAGTTCGTTTATGTTTCATGGCATCAAAGGGGAAGTCCTATAACATTGAAGAAGGGGACATATTCCTTTTGTTAGAATAAATAAATATTGCGGGTATTCTTTGTAGATGTTCTTGTGACAACCATTTACCTGCTCTGCTTATCCATGTGACTAGATAACCCAGGTTACTTCTCCTCGATAAATGTATTAAGACGTCTCATTATTTCGAACTTATCCATGTGGGCATTTTGAGGCCTTGTTTTATACCAACTCGTAATGGTTTTAAAATACTTTCTCGCCATTGTTATCGAACTTCTAGTGCTACGAGGGCTTGTCTTATGGGTTTCAAAAGTAATGATTTTCCTTTAAGCTCAGGCTGAAATTGCCCTGATTTCAAACCAAAGTGCGTCCCCTTTTTCCAAAGTCTTAAATGGGTCGGATTGGATGGGTTACGTGGCTTTCTTCTCACTCGGCTTCTAGAATAATTGACTAAATCATTGTCATGAGAGGGGAGTTTTTCTACCCTTGGTATTACACCTCCTTGGGTGAATAGGAGTGTCATTTGTCTGTCTCCCCGGAGCATCATGTTAACCATTAGAATGCCTCTAACCAGTATATGATTTCATCCCAACATTTAGATGTCCGAGCTATGTGGTTTTACTCGTGAAAGGGGTGAGATTAGATGCCTTCAGATTTTCCACATATCATGAGCATATTGGTTTGGAAGACAAGTTGACATACCTTTAGTTCTCTCATTTAGGGTCAATTGTCAGGGAAGGTTAAGCTTTTGAGTTATGATAATCTCATAAGTGTTTTAACTTCATTTTCATCCTCATGGGCCTACGGCATAGATTTCTTGTGTCAGCTAACGTCAGGAGTGTAATTCCATTTCATGTATTTTGAATCTCATATCGCATTCAAGGTACCAGAGCATGAATTGATTTTCCCTTCACCCTAGGAAGCGACTGGGTCACGTACTTGAATATTCCTCCTTAATGATTTCTATTGCCAATGTACTACTTACCCCCTATGCCTCGTTTGTGTAATAATTGACATCGTCATAATGATTAACCATGTCAGCATTGTTAGTTGTAACTTTCGTGTCCCTTATCATATAACCTCAGAAAGTACTCTACTCAGCGCATTAATGGATTCCTGAATAACTCCAGCATGATCTTGAACTATGTTGTTCCTCATTGTATTAGATCCATTGGGTATTGTAAGTTCAGATGAGTCAAAGATGAAGCCTCGCAGTGTGATCACATATATATTTGATAGGTAATTTTATGGTCAGTTTATGATAGCACATCTTAGAGTAATTGTTGAAGGTCATAAAGGGTTTAGTGTGAGTGTTCGCCTAGAGATTTAGAGTTTGGAGGGTGAGCAGGCTATTCTCAATATTTTCACCTGAGGATGTTATGTGAGTTGATAATAAAGGTTGCATAAGTGTATTCCACATTAGGTCGCACTAGGAGTATGAAGTGTCCCCATAGTTGTTCGCCATATATTTTGTGGATTCACATGTCTATTTCTAAGAAAGTAGGTGGAGATCAATTGTGTGTCATTTCGGTGGAAATTATCGAAGGTGAAGTTAGTGGATAGTTAGCTTATGCGAGATATCTACTTGTAATCCCTGTTAAGTAAGTTTAGGGGTCGAAATTGCTCCCGTGAATGTGTTCTGGCGAAGTCTGTAGATATAAGAGGCCATTGAAAGGACGAGAGTGTTGTGGAATAAAATATTTTCTCTTGATTGCATAGTAGTATGTTTTGATTTGAAAGGTACCTTCTAGGCGATATGATTTAAAAATGTGCAGTCCATGCCCAAGTATAATCGTGATAAAGTAGTGTTTGTAATGCTGAGGTTCTTGTCATTGATATATACATTATGGTGCTTTGTGGAGTTGTGGATGTGGATGGTTTTGGTGGTTCTCTGGCAGGAGGATAGGCATAGTTACAAAGGAGACTCTGCCGAAATTTCTGAAAAATTTAGGATTTAGTCAAAATTTAGGGTCTTGAGGTAGGTGAGAAAAGAGATTTATTATATTAAGCGTTTAAGTCGGACTCTACTCCTCATTCGAGGATGAATGATCCTAAAGGGGGGAGAATGTAAGGCCCCGAAAAATTTCGCTAAGTAACTTGGGATCTCGGGGTGCCACGTAGGCTTATTATAATATTTTATGTGCTATTAACATGGTGTACATCAATTGGATTTGGTAAATATGTGTATAAGTCTTAGTGTAAGTAATTTGGGGTCCAAGGAAAGGCCTAAGTCTAAGAAAACTTGGAAAAGTTCATAATAGGCTAAAATTCCAAATGAGCTCGCACAAATCCATACTTTGAACGATCATATCTAAATATTTATAAGGTTTTGTGTGATAAATAACATATCAAATGAAAGGTCTTCGAGTCTAGTTTGCAACGCTTCAAACCATTCATTATTTGGACATTCCTACGCAAAGTTATGATCAAATTACCAAAGGCTGGAAAATGCGATCCTGTGTCAAATTTGCGATTGCAAAACCCGTCGCATTTCTGATTGCTGTCGCATTTCTGTCGCAAACCGGGCCAGTGTAGCACAGTTTTTGGCGCCAATTTTTTGATGCATTATGCGGCCAGCATTTTTGTTTTGCGGTCCATTTTGCGATAGCAAACCCGACTTCGGAGGGTTACTTTTCCTACTTTTATAACCCGGCCCTATTTTAATATATAGGCTTTAAGGTTCATTTTGGGGTCATTTCTTACTGATTTTAGAGAGAGATGAGAGCATATAGAGAGAGAATGGAGAGGTCTAGCTTCATAATCATCCAAACCTTGCATCAACCTTCAAGAATCAAAGAGCCCAGTCATAAGTTCTTCATCCAAGAGGTAAGATTCTATACATTAGGCTTTAATTTCGAGTTTGGGGTATGAGATGGGGTATTGAGGTATGATTCTTGGGTGTAACACTATTATGTATACATGCATGTACAAATTAGGTTTGTGGAAAGATTGTTTAACATAAATAAGTAACGATTTGGTTGGGGAATGAAGGAAAAACCTTGAAAAAGGGATTTGAAATTAAGATGCTCGACTACTATTTGATAAAATGCTCAAATGAGCTGAAACCATGAAAACCTTTCTAATTTGTGTTCAATTTTGTTATGTCTCACAGTAGATTAGAATTGCTAGAATATCCGGAACGTTGTAGTAACTTAAGGAAAGCCTAATCGAGGTATGTATGGCTAACTTTGACCTTTGTAAAATCACCCTGTTTGGTGTACGAATATTTGGTATGTGATATCTACGTGGATTATGTGTGAAATTCTTGTGATTGGTATGATTTGAGTGTTCGTGGTTAAGTCTCCCGACATAATGGTGTAAGTAATTGGCAATAAACGAAATGTGTGATTCTGAAAGTGTTATGTGGTAAGAGCTAAGAAACAAATGATGGAAGGAAATCGTAAATGATGCAATTGGAACAACTATGGTAATAACATATATGGCTTGTCGTGGGCAATTACCGTTGTGACATAAAATGCATACGAGTTATTAAATATGATGGAAATGGTATTGATGGTTATGGAAATTCTTTGCGAATTGTTGTTGTTACTCCTTCAGAATTGTTGTTGTAGTTCTTGAGAATTTTTGTTGTTGTTCTTTGTGAATTGTTGTTGTTGTTGTGCTGTTTGTGAATTGTGATTGTTCGGTGGAATCGGGTTGCGCACCGCAACACGAAGTTATAAGGTGTGGGTTGTGGTGATAAGGGTGGCCGAGGTAATAAGGGTGGCCGAGTTAATAAGGGTGGAAAGTGATCGAAATCACTATTGAAATGAAAATATGAGAAAGTTGTGAAATCATTGATGTGAAAATGTTGAAGGGGAAATGGAGAGATTGTAAACTTGTTTGGCTTGATTATTTTCTTTCATGTGTATTTGATTGTTGATTCCATCACTACTTGTTACTTGCCTATGGTTTGAGTTTGTTTAGGGCAAAGTTTGTTCATACATACCAGTACGATTCAAATGTACTGACGTCCCTTTTGCCGGGGACGCTAAATTCATGTTATGATTGTAGGTGGATCCATAGCAGGTACTCCAGTCCACCGACCGTAGCCCCCCTTCACTTTCTGTCATCTTTATTGGTGAGCCCCTTCCTCTCGGGGCCCTACGTGATCCTTAGAGGCTCCGTAGACAGTAAATGTGGGTTACGAACTTATGAAAATATGTATTTTCTATGTTGGGCGATGTAAGTTGTAAACCTCATTAAGTAACCATGTATGTTATGTGTGTTTTGTAAAAAGGTGTTTTAATTATAAATGGCTAATTCCTTGATTAATGAGCAATGAAAATACGGGGTAAAACGTGGGATAGGAAAGGCACCCAGGTCCGCTTGACTGGGGCTACCCGGTCGGGCACCGGTCATGTCCCTCGGTTTAGGGCGTGACAATTTCAACCACATCTTCCACTTCATCAACAACATTAATCACCGAGATGCTTTCATATTCATGTGGTAGTTTCATACCCTTGATTGCTTGGAATGTAACCTCTTCATCATTCACAAAGAATTTGATCTCATTCCGTTCCGAATCCATTACTGCTCTTCCTGTGGCAAGGAATGGTCTCCCCAAGATGATAGGGATCTCTTTGTCAATTGCACAATCAAGGATTACAAAATCGGCGGGTAGATGGAATTGTCGCACTTCACAAGCACATCATCAAAAATTCCTACCGGTCTCTTTATGGAACGATCGTCCATTTGCAGCCTCATACTTGTAGGCCTCGGCATACCTAACCCTGCTTGCTTGTAAATAGCAAGAGGAATTCAGTTGATGCTAGTCCCACTATCACAAAGAGCTCTTGCAAAATCACGCGCCCCAACAGTGCATGGAATGGTGAAAGCTTGTGGGTCTTCTTTCTTTTGAACGGTGGTTGTTGCAGTGATGGAACTAACCTGGTGAGTCACATTCACCACTCATTCTTGGTGGTTCTCTTCTTGGTAATCAAGTATTTCAAATACTTAGCAAAACCCGGCATCTCTTAAAATGCTTCCACAAATGTAATATTTACCAATAACTGCTTGAGAATGTCATAGAACTTTTCGAGTTTGCTATCATCAACCTTCCTAGCAAGTCTTTGAGGGAAAGTAGGATGAGGTTTAGGAATCGGTGGTAGAGTTTTTGGTGCCTCTTTTACCTTTTCCTTTAACTCTTCCCGGTTCACTTCTTGAACTTTCAACTCCTCGGGAACCTCTTTAGCTTCAACAACAATTTGCTCTTCAACTTGTGCCTCAACCTCTTGCTTGGAATCTTCCAGTTCAACCACTTGTTCACTCTCTCCTTGTATTACCTTCCCACTCCGAGTAGTAATTGTCATGATATGAGAAGTTGGACCACTCCCACTACCTTTTGGGTTTGCAATTGTGTCACTTGAGAGTGTCCCCTTTTGCTTTGGATTTTGTTCCCTAGAGAGATCTCTCATTTGCATCTCGAATTTTCGAATGGATGCGGTATGAGAACTAACAAGCTCGGTCATATTCCTCTTAAAAAGGGTCGGGCCTTTCCTGATTTTTCAATACCCGTTCAACTATGCTTTCCAACTTGGAATCACTTGAGGAACCTTGCTTTGAATATTGCCCCTTTGGTGGAACATAAGGGTTTGAACTCTGATTTGAGAAGTTGTTGTTGTTGTTATTCCAATTTCCTTGATTTGAGCTACCTCGGTCATTTCGCCACTGTTGGTTGCCTTGCCCTTGCAGGTTAGGCCTCCATTGATTTTGTTGTACTTGACCTTGGTATTGTTGCCTTTGATTGCCCCCTTGAGAGTTGTTAAGATAGTTTGCTTCCTCAAAGTCTTCATTTGATGTGGATTGAACATCCTCCACCACGTTTACCTTTTTCATTTGGCTTTTAATGAACATCTTTGTCAACACATTGGCATTGGTGGCAAGCCCTGCAATTACTTGATCTCTCTCTTGGTTCTCCTTAACCATGTTGGTCAAGGAGGGAGTACCATAAGCAATTCCATATTGTGGTGTCCTCTGAGTGAAAGCTTGATTGTGTTGCACCATTTTGTCAAGGATTTGTGTGACCCTTGCAAATGTCTTATCTATAAAAGATCCATCAGCTGCATTCTTTGCTATAGATTGGTTCATAGCATCTAAACCCATGTAGAATTTCTCCAACAAGATAGAATCCGGAAAACCATGATTACGCGACCTCACCAAATATAACTTGAATCGATCCCATGTCTCATGTAGATGTTCTCCCGGTAGTTGCTTGAAAAATAAAATCTTATCCTGAAGCTCAGATTTCTTGCTTTGCGGGAACCATTCAGCTAAGAATGCTTGGACAAGTTCAGGCCAAGAATGAATGGAATTTGGTGGCAAATTTTGAAGCCATTTCCTTGCTTCCCCAGCAAGTGAGTACTTGAACACCCTCAACCTTAGGGCATCATCTGAGATGTTATTCTGCTTGTGAATCGCACATTCACCCAAGAAGTTTCTAAGATGTGGTGTCGAATCATTATCAGTGGAATTCCTGAAAAACCCCTCCGCTTTGAGCAATAGGATTAAACTATGTTCCACCTTGAAAGTGGTAGCACCAACTATCGGAGGTAAAATAGCATTTGTATCCTCAATGTACTCATCGTTGTCTGCAAAAGGATTTTCTTCTTTATCATATTCAGCCATGTTTTCCTATCAACACCAAGCAAAACAAGCAAAGTGTGATGGAATAGAAGAAGACGTAAAGTAAAGCACACACTAATTAGTAATTTCAAAATCGTATTCCCCGGCGACGGCCCCAAAATTTGATACTCTCAAATTACACTTTAATTAAATAGTGTAAGGCGGTCAGTGTCAAATATAGTAACCCAACAAAGTTGGGGTTGAATCCCACAGGGAATAGGCGTGAAAAGGTTACTCGAGTAGTGTGCTGCTTGACTTAGGTCGTAATTCTACTCCGTTAATGTAACAAGAGAATGATATGATTGTGAATTAAAGAGATAACGAATTGTAACTTCGAGAATGCAAATGATTTGATTTAGGAAACCAAGGTTGAGTCCTTGTCAATAGAATGTAATACTATTGGTGTTAATATGATATATTTCTAATGGAAGGTTGTAAGGCCCCGAAAATATTCCCTAAGTAATTTAAGATTTCGTGGTGTCACATAGGCTTATTATAATATTTTTATGTGCTATTAACATGGTGTACATCCATTGGATTTGGTAAATATGTGTATATGTCTTACGGTAAGTAATTTGGGATCCAAGGAAAGGCCTAAGTCTAAGAAAAATTGGAAAAGTCCATAATAGGCTAAAATTCCCAATGATCTTGCACTAGTCCCTACTTTGAACGAGCATATCTAAATATCTACAAGGTTCTAGGTGATGGATAACCTATCAAATGAAAGGTCTTCGAGTCTAGTTTCCAACGCTTCAAACCGTTCGTCTTTTGGACCTTCCTACACAAACTTATGATCAAATTACCAAAAGCTGGACCTAGAAGGTTCTATACTTATTACAATTCCTATTCTATCCTTACCCCACTTCAAAAATTACCAAATCTAATTAAATTACCCTTTTCAATGCCCCAAAATATCCTTTAACTATACTGTAATTACTGACCTAGATCACCCTAAACCTGGCCCTATTATCTTAGTCAAGACCCAACTAGGGTTAAACCGAATGCCTGCTAGATAAAACAGCTATATCCAAACAATCCTAAAATTGAACTAAGAGTCTAATTATCCTTCTCTAAATCTCAGCAACCAAAACCAACTAATCCAAGATAAACAATGAATTCAACAGTAAATGAACGGAATTGGAACCAAATTAACAAGAGCATTTATGGAACAATTAATTGACACCCAACACTGAATCAAACCTAAAAGTTTTGAACGAAGTTATTATGCAAAGAATAAAAGAAAATCAGTCAAAGAAAAGAAACTTACTGATTTTAGGAATTCTGGCCAGCCAATGACGTTCGAATCTTTCAAGATTTTTGACACGCAACATCCTTAATCATGTGTTTTCGCAAGAAGACACCTGGTTAAGGATGGTACGGTCCAAAATCACAAAGATTTTGGATTAGGGTTNGTTCTTCATCTAAGAGGTAAGATTCTATACCCTAGGTTTTAACTTCGAGTTTGGAGTATAAGATGGGTTATTAAGGTATGATTCTTGGGTGTATTAATATTGTGTATACATGCATGTTCAACTTAGGTTTATGGGAAGAATGTTTAACTTAAATAAGTAAAGATTTGGTTGGGGAATGAAGGAAAACCTTGAAAAAGAGACTTGAGATTATGATGCTCAACTAGTATTTGATAAAATGCTCAAATGAGCTGAAACCATGAATACCTTTCTAATTTGTGTTCAATTTTGTTATGTTTCAAACTAGATTGGAATTGCTAGAATTTCCGGAACGTTGTAGTAACTTAAGGAAAGCTTAAACGAGGTATGTATGGCTAACTTTAACTCTTGTAGGATCCCCCTTGTTGTGACAAGCATACGGTATGTGTACCTTGTATGAGAATATGTGAATTGATTGCCTTAGTTGATCTCCATACCACCAAGTTATATGTGATTGTGAGAAGTGATTTGATGTGCCTATCTTGTTATGTGCAAAGTTTGTAAAAGCTTGAGGATGTCGACATGGAAGTATGTGTTTACTTATGTGAACTATTTGTGAATTCTTTTGATTTATGTGCCTTGAATGTTGTTGGTTAAGTCTTACGATATGATGGTGCAAGTAAATGGAAACAAACCAAATGTGGGTGTGTGATTGTGAAAGTGTTATGTGGTAAGAACTGAGAAACAAATGATGGAAGGAAATCGTAAATGATGCACTAGGAACAACTGTGGTAATAACATATTTGGCTTGTTGTGGGTAATTATTTTGGTGACGTAAATTGCATATGAGTTGTTGAATATGATGAAGTGGTATTTATGGCTACGGAAATTCTTGTGAATTGTTGTGGTTGTTCTTGAGGATTGTTGTTGTTATTCTTTGTAAATTTTTGTTGTTGTTGTTCCTTGAGGGTCATTGTTGTTGTTTCTTGAGGATTGTTGTCGTTATTCTTTGTGAATTGTTGTTGTTGTTGTGTTGTTTGTGAATTGTGATTGTTCGGTGGGATCGGGTTGCGCGCCGCAACACGAAGAAATAAGGTGTGGGTTGTGGTGATAAGGGTGGCCGAGGTAATAAGGTTGGAAAGCGATCGAAATCGCTATTGAAATGAACTATGAACAAATTGTGAAATTATTGATGTGGAAATGTGGAAGGGGAAACAGGAGAGATTGTAAACTTGTTGAATTGCTCTTTTTTTGTGGATTTGATTGTTATTTCCATTACAATTACATGCTTGTTTATGAAGGAGAGATTGTAAAACTTGTTTGGCTTTGATTGTTTCTTTCACGTGCATTTGATCGTTGATTCTATTGATGTCTGTTACTTGTGTGTGTTATTTGATTTTACTTGGGGTGAAGTTTGTTTATACATACCAGTACAATTCAAATGCACTGACGTCCCTTTTGCCGGGGGCGCTACATTCGTGTTATGACTGTAGGTGGTTCTATAGCAGGTACTCTAGTCCACCGACAGTAGCACCTCCTCCACTTTCCATCTGTATTGGTGAGCCCCTTTCCACTAGGGGCCCTACGTGGCTCATGCCGCCTTTCCTCCGGAGTTTATATTTGTATTCGGTAAGGTATAGCCGGAGCCTTGTTACCGGCATTTCCATATTATTCTTCAATTATATTTAGAGGCTCCGTAGACAGGTTGTGGGTTGTGTCGGGCATGGGAATTTAAAATAGAAGTATTGATGTTTGGCAATGATGTATAAAACTTGTAATACCTTTACTATGGCGAATGAAGTCGCTAATGGAAAATGAAATGGAAATCGTGAATGATATATTTATAGAACTTGATTAATGGAGTCCGTCTCCAATTAATTCATGAGTTAGTTTGGGTAGAATGAGATCTAACAGGCTTGCTCGGTCGGGTTTACTCGATTTAGCGCCGGTCGCGCTCCTCGGATTTTGGGGCGTGACAAACTTGGTATCAGAGCCTAAGGTTTTAAAGTGTCCTAGGATGTCTCGGAGTCGTGTCTAGTAGAGTCCTTCTTATCGGTGTGTTGTCGACCACATCTATAAGTTGGAGGCAATTTAGACATTTAGAAATTTCACCCTTCATTGATACTCAAATCGTGCAATAGAGCTCAAGTTAGGTAGCTGATTTCCTCTCTAAGTCTTATTCTCAAGATTGGTACTTTTGATACCATACTCCGCGAATTTGAAGCATGTAAGGAGGGATTGATCCCACCATTGAGTCCAAGTAGATTACCCAAGGACTTGTTAGAAGACTGTGTTGAGCCATGGAGGGATTGGTAGAACTTGTTGTTAAGGGGAATACCCTTGTTCCTACTAATGTAATTGCACCACCAGATCATGTAGTATATCATCAGTATGTAGGGCTAAAACCCCGTCTTTTATAAATTGAGCCTCCATGGTGCCCGCGTAAATGTTATAAGTTCAAAATATAAGTGATGCAATACTCGTTTTATTATGTTAAGCGAATTATTGTTGTAAAAATGTATGTGGTAGGTACTTCTTCATGTGTTTAATATGTTATTCTTATTAAATGAGGATATATGAAGAATGTGAACTATGTGCTAAAGTGCTAGACTTCAGGTCAAGTTTAAACTGAGATTTGATGCCAAATTGTGTGAGAAAAGAAAACTCATTAGGGTTAATTCCTCCAAAATGTCCTTACGTGTACCAAAGGTATTTGATTGATTGTGTCTGGTTCTTGGTAATGTATAAAGATATTTCGAAGTGAAGTAAGTGACTGTGTAAATATGGTAAAACTGAATGTTGGATTCTTGCTGTTGTTGATACTTTACATGAATTGGTGTTGTGAAAGATGCATTCCAATATGATCAATGTGCTATTATTGACAACTTAACAAGGAATATGAATCATGTATTGAAATGCTAAGACCTTAAATTGAAACTGGAGATGCATATATTATGTCAAACTACGTGAAATCCTCTGTGTATAGAGATATTGAAATAAGTCAAATGACTTTGAGAAATAGAGTATTGCCAATGTGTCGAGAACTCGAATTGTAATTGTACCTGGTGATGCTTATGACATGAGGGAATATGAAACAGATTATGATATTGATGTGAAATATGCGGAAGTGATGTGAAATGCGGGAAATAAGAGATTGTGTTATGAAATGCGGCCTAGTGCCAAGTATGATGTGATAATTATGGCCCCAAGTGCCGATGGACTAATATACGTGAAAATGGCATGATTCTTTTATTTGATAATGTGGTGATCAAAAGTGTTTGATTTGTACTTGTGATTTCCTTGTTATTGTATGAAACGCATAGGTGTATAATTTGATATGTGAGCCCTATGGAAGGGCCATGAAATGTTGCCTTGAGGTACGGAAATTATGTGAAAGCTATGTGATCCCTTTTTATTTGGTAATGTGGTGATTGTTTAAAGCTTTTGTTAAACCCTTATGATTTCCTTGTCTTTGCATAGATATGTTCTTAGAAAGAATCTAAATTACAAAACATTTCATGCACATGCTCTTTGAGTTAGACGTATTATTCACAAAGTCTCTCTATTACAGTTCTCTTACTTTCTCGAGTCACTCCTTTTTTTTCTCTCACCGAT